TCAACGATGTCGAGCTCGTATTACTAGACTGCCTCGCACAGCCCGGATACAGTTCTATGAATATTGGACGCCTCTGAAAATAGATGTGGTGAGGAAAACGCGACCTTAAAGGAAATGCCGCGTGGATCTGCCAGTCATGGAGACCTTTCACTCGTGCATCTGAGCGCCTTTCCTCGATCCGGTGCCGGGGCCAGTAAACGGATGCTCGACGTACTGGCCACCTCCCAGTCTTCGGTTAGGATGAAATCAGTAAACTCTTGATTTTCCTGATTTGTTTAGAACTTGTTCTGCGTGGTTTTGGATAGTATTAAATAGATAGGGCCTAAACATTATTTGCTTTTTTGTCATTGCTACACCAAGGGAGTATAGATGTGTCCACTCGAATCATGTAGACTGCGGTAAATTCCGATTTTATGGAGAGATATAAAGATTTTTGTAATCTACATCGAGCAATAATTTTTTGACTTCAGTGACACTCATGTCACTGTAAGCATTTCATAAAGTAAAGAAAATTATCAACGAGCGATAAAAATCACGTTCTTTACAACGTAACAATAAATAATTTTTTATTACTCTCAATACATTACATGGAAAATGAAACTTTTCTCGTTTGACCGCGTATTTTTGACGTGCACAATCATCGAGACGAATTAACTGTTTATAAAAAATAAATACTATTAATATTTATACCTTTCACACGTGAGACCATTTGAAAAAAAAACTTCGATAATTAAAAACATATTTTCAACTGTTGAGATAATTCGTCAGTTGAATACGTCATGAAAGTGACATAAGCGAGCGACCTCCATCAATAATTAATCGAGGCTTCTGAATGCTACGTCACTCGACATACTGTATCTCTTGGATTTGTAACCACCGTTTTTGGTTTGAAAGGGCGTTATATCGCACGATGGAGATGAATGAACTCCCATATATTAAATAGGACTTTTAACTTATAATCCAGTTATAACATAAATCGTCTTTTCCTCTATAATTTTCTCTGAAGTAAAATTATAACTCGTTGGGGGATTGGAACCTGCATGATTGACGTGCTTTGATATTTCCGGTCTGTTACATGAGCTCAATGATAACCAAACGCAATTTGAACTTACCAACTTGCCAATTTGAACTTGAACGATGTATACGTCATTAATTGAGCGCTCGTTGTAGAGTTGAAAGAAATAGGTTTGACATGATGAATTTCTTTAAGGTTGGAAATTAAAATACGGATCACCACAGATAATGAGGAGTATATACGGTTATCTCTTTCATCATTTGATGCTCTGTTGCGTGTTGAAAAAATTTGTTACATGTAATGCAAAAATATCAAAGCTTACGGATATGCTCATACTCGTGCCTTTCCTAATTGTGCTTAATTCTATTCGTGGAAAAATATAAATGAAGTTGTGTAACGAAATTGGCAATCTAATAATTGAAAAAAAACTTTTTTGCGCACCATTCGCATCTATACGACTACAAATAACCCGTCTGCTCTTCTTGCATGTATGTTATTTTTCCTGAAGTAGATAGAAGAAACTTGAAGATTTAGTACTGCTCAATCAAGTGTAAATTGGAAAACTTCGAAGTGAAAGAGAAAGCGTTACGCTCGAGGGAATTGAGGTGCGTATGATTGAGATTCCGCGCTCTGATCTCACATCTTCTGTCCCTTGCATTGTTGGGGTTTGGTCGCCATCCGCACTCCGGGGTTCAGTTGCCTTGGTGCTTCTTCCTAGAATCGGGCACTAAATAAAGCGTTAATTTATGAACGCAGGAGCAAGAAGCAACGTAAAATAAACGCGCAGTAAATGCAAGCATATACGCGCAAGCTTGTATATGCTTGCTTAATGACATTTACAGCAGATAACTCTCACGTAAATAAACCTGCATGTTTTACTCCACTTTAATTCCCCGTTCTAGCCCCTCTACCGCCGATCTTTCCCTGACCTTGCGTCACCGGAAGCGTCAATTAATGTTTCTTAGGTCGCTTGCGGAACTCAGCATCAAGTCTCGGTTTTCTGAGCTTTACGTAAGACTAATTTTTTTGTCATCTCTTCATCTCGCTATAACGAAGGAAATATTAAACCTTCCACTTGGTTGCGACACCTCAGCTCCAGGGCGTTGTCATCATACTTATAATTGGTATTCTAAGAAACTACAAACAAAATGGAGAGGGGATTCTTTTTGCCAGCGCACTGCATTTCTTAAGCCATTTCCCCTGTTCTTGTTACCACGCCGATGAGAGTGACGAAATTGCGGCAAAATGATGACGCCAGCCTAGCATACTTGTTAACTTCTGCAAGTTCATTATTCGTACAGTTAATGAGAGTGGCAAAATACGGCTCAATGACGAAGCCCGTCTAGCTTACTTCTTCGCTTCTGCGAGTTCTCTAAAATGAGCGACTTAAGCGAAAAGCAAAGGTTCTGAGCTCATCGTACGACGCAATTAAAGTGAAAAGACCTAAAGTTAGTATAAATAAACCGCTGAGATGGATTTCTGTCAAGTAATTGGAATTAACGGTAAAAATCTATTAGTTTCTTGTGGGTTACGAGAGAGCTTACAAAATTTGGTCCTCGAAAATTATATATCTGCAATCTAATGCGTCAAACATCTACATATGTTATAATGATGAACGAACTCTAGATTTTTATCAATTCGAAAACATATAAACCATTTGAGAGTAATTTTCCGGTTGTTTAAATTAGCCTCCACTATACACTCATAGAAACATGCAATCATCCTGAACAAAACTCTAGCACGAGCGTGAAAATCAATTCTTTCTAAATTCGCTTTTAATATTTTTCACGTTAAATTGTCGTTTCTTCGATGATATACAATTTTCAAAACTTATCATTATGTGTATGTATTGCTCATATGTCTGTGGCGGCGTCTTGATAAACTGCATGCTGACCATCAGCATAAATGAAGACTTTGCGTAAATTTAATTGGTAAATTACTTCAATATACTCAAATATTATGCGCTGGGACGCCCACGAATCGCGCATAATGTCTGTTGAAACTCTACGTTTCAATGTGTTGCAAATAAAAAATGTTTAAAAACTTTTTTCCTGCGATTGATCGTATAAATGTTCTTGTCTTTAGCTAGCTAATATGAGTTGAATTAGATTTTCGAGATTTCAGCTGGGAGATTTTAAAATCTATTTTATGTTAGATATTTTTGGTAGTCCAATATTTATTTGTAATTTCTACATTTTCGAGTGCCACACGTTTTTGTAGCTAGTTTTCTGCCCGTGGCTCTTCTTTTGAATCGAAATAGATTTTCACGCTGGCAAAAAATTCCACATTGAAATAAATGTTAATTAATTCGATTGTAAATTTTTGGGAAGCTTGAAGATTTGATTGAAATAAATGAAACAATAAGGATAAATCAGTTCTATCTCTTTGACGACTGTCTAATTATGTGAAGGCTGGCAACGAAAGCGCACTGCCGAATCGATGCTGGAATGGATTTGCTGGAATTAAAGTCTAAAAACTTTTTATATGAACGTAATTTTAAAGTTGTCCTTTAATAGCAGTATTATATCACTGGCCTATGCTTATCACTGGCATTGACAGTAGTTGATATTATCAAGTTTAAATAAGGTCACAAAATATTGAGAAGAAGGCTGGCAACGAAAGCGCACTGCCGAATCGATGCTGGAATGGATTTGCTGGAATTAAAGTCTAAAAACTTTTTATATGAACGTAATTTTAAACGTGTTTTTTAATAGCAGTATTAAATCAATGGCCTATGCTTATCACTGGCACTGACAGTAGTTGATATTATCAAGTTCAAATAAGGTCGCAAAATATTGAGAGAAATATATACCTCACTGTTCACGTAAATTATGAGTATTTTTATCGATGAAAAGTGCACATTGACGAAATTTCGTTCGGTGCCAATTTTTTAGAGATAAACGAATCCTGCAATAATATAATTTATCAAATTACGGTTTGTTGAATCGAGACTATGAATATTTAATTTGTATTTGATTTGGATGTTACAGCAGTGACATTTACTGCATTGCGTTTAATTTACTCTGTGCCATCAACAGGATGTCCAGTGTTTTCATATTTATTAATACCTCGAAAAATGAATTGACTTGCAATAGCTCACGTAAACGAAATCTGAGTTTGAATACAGCGTTGATAACGAAATTCAGAGCACATATTCGTATAAGAATGGGGATAAATGTGTGCTCGATTCATATGCACTTTTTAGCGTAATAGTTATGATAAAAATAGTTATCATAATAACTATCATCATCTATGTATCCTAATAGTTAAAAAAGTAGTTATGATAGGCTGCTAATCGCTGTGCGTCTGCAGCCAGATGCTTGCAGGATGAGAGCGATATCTGCAGCGTTGCAAGGAGTGGAGCAAAATTTCCCACAAAATGTTTCGTTATGAGGTAAATGATTTTGAAATTAACGAGACTGTAATCAAATCAACAAGAATTTTGCTCTCTCTGCCTATGATGTAAATGCTGTGCTCAAACTTTGGTAAATTACATTAAGTTAAATCATTAATGTTTAATTAAAACGCTTGTATTTCCTTTCGCCAGGGTTCCAGGGATCGTAGTTTCATCACAAGTCTTGATCTTTAATTTGGGAATCGGAATCATCGGCGGCGTGAGAAGTGGTCGGAAGCTCCGATTCTTGTTGGCAGATGGCGGCTCGTAAAGGATTTCATGCAGATGGCTGTGACCAATATTGTGATTATATTACTATTAATGATACGAAGCCATGTGTTTTCCGTGATTATATTAGTATTAATGATACGAAGCCATGTGTTTTCCGTGATTATATTAGTATTAATGATACGAAGCCATGTGTTTTCCGGTAATAATGCAGTCACCGGCGACGTCGACTGGCACGGCACTTCCTGTCCCAGCTCCTGTGCCTTGTCTATGGAAAGATTACAAACCTTGTCGTATTAATGCCATGTCCTATATAGGGACCTGGCGGAGAATGGAAAACGCGGAGAATGTTTAAAACGAAGGTTATTAGATTTTATGTATTTAAAAACAAGTTAGCGTACAAAGTTATAACTCTAGTCAATACGAAACACATGCTGGCACTGAACTAATACTTAAATTATGTACAACGCGCGATAATAAGGCAATGTAATTGCTGCAGGAAATATTTCAAGCAAATGAGAAATTCTCCTCAGTCGGACATGAAAGTAATGCAATAAAGAAAAATGTATTTTTGTATAAACATTATCTATTAACGCTAACAATTGTTGAAAACATTTGTGAAATAATAATACACAATTTTTGTGGCCTTTACAATAAATGCAGCGATGCACACGTTGCGTCGTGATTCACAACATATAAAATACTGACAAATTCACCAATAAAAAATGTTCACCATCAAATAACGAACCAATTCACATTCACTAGTGAACGTTTACACGAGCTGCGCAACCGAATTTAGAACCCTCATTTCGTCATTGTTTTGAAGCGAGAGCTCAACATAAGGGCTCGAAAATATTGCACGGAAAAGATGTAAGCGTAAAATACATTCAATAAGTGACATCGTATCGATTTCAAAACCAATTATGAACGAAGAACATGCATGTCATTTACTGGAGTTGAACATGGCATGAATTTCGTTGAATGGACATTCATGCAGAGGATAGGTAAACACAAAACTAATGGCATTTATATTCACATCCCACTGAAAATACTAACACGAGGTTCCCTTTAATTGAAAATTTTATTGCTGAAATGATCATGCATCAGTTGTAGATATCTGTTCAACTGTACACAGGAAATGCAAGTTTTGAATTGAATTTTGTATACCTTAAGCACAGACTGAAACTTATTGATTTACGAAATTCAAATGACATATTTTTCAGGAAGAGTTTGCTCCGAACGTAATACGATCCTAGTTCGAATAAAATTGTTCAGACAAATATTAATAACAATAAAATAGATTATCGTAATATATAAGAATGAGTTCGGTTTGGCTACGATGAATATGATTACGTATTAGTCTCCGAAAATTGTGGCAAATGAACACAAAGAAATTGGGAGCAAAACCCAATATTATCGTCTGAAATAGCAAAATATGTTATTAGTCAGAGCTGTAATATGTACAGCTATGCTCATAAACTGAACTAGCAGTAATCGTATATCAGTATCCGGCCATAGTATTAAAAATAATAAAAGAAAATTCTACTCAGAACTCAGAATACAAGAAGCATGAGGTATTTATTATGAAATTAAATCTTAGACAGCTCATTGATGCCCAGTGGTAGGTCGTCGATAATTATATATTATAATTATACATTATTATGTTTGTGACCTCGATTTTGTTTGTGTCACATAATTTGTTTGTGACCTCTATAATTATATATTATGCGACCTCTACTTCAAGTCTTTGATGTCTGCGATAAAATGATCAGCTGATAAGGGTCACAATAACCAATCTTACCGATGCTGTAATCATATTAAACATTAATAACGTATATTACAAATCTAGTTGCTAGCAGCATGATAACGAATGTGAATAAGGTCATAGTCGTGACGGCAAATATCTTGACAACGAGCAATGCCTTTCTTTATGTACATCATTTAAATTACAATTATTATTTAAAATGTCTCTCCCTACAACAGATAAATTGTCATCAAATTCGAGCTTCTGATTTACGGTACCATCACCGACAATTTTTCGCAAATACTTATCGATATAAATGAGATAATTCATGACAAATGCCGTAAAAATAATTGATATAACAATACCGTAGATCTCGTTCATTTCTAAGCACATCGGTGACGGGATTTTCTTAACAACGGCGGGGACTCCATCTGCACTATCTCCATGCCCACGCGGGGACTCCAAAATGCACTATCTCCATGCGGTACAACAACGGCGGGGAATGCATGCAAGTTGTGAGAGTGAAAAAATTTCATCGCCTGATATTCTTTCCTTTGTTTGCATAAAAAATGCAGCCATACAAAATACTGAGAATCGGAAGTGCGCGACTAATGAGGATCATTTTGTCGTAAATGAATATATTGTCAACAATTGTTTACTGCTCTTCGAAACAACGTTGCTATTTCTTGTTATTTAAGCCTAAAGATATTTTTGTATGAGTATTTCTGAGCGCGTCTGCCCACAAAAGCTTAACTTCATATTAAAAAATAAATTTTTAAATTTTTTAAGTAAGACAAGAAGTTTTAATTGTTCAGTTGTAAGTAGAACGCAAAAGGCTTGAAAAGTGGCTATAATCGGTGCCGACAATGGAATTTAATCGACACTGCACTTTCCCACCTGTCGACCATAACGACGTTGTTCAGGTCGAAAAAAAAATACTATATTTGAACGACAAAAAAGGATACGACGTGTTGGACTTGGACGTGCTAATTTTAGACATGGCAGACTAATAAATTTTAGACATGCATGGCCGAATGTTACAATCAACGAAATCCATACATACTGACTGTGACAGTTGCGCAATTCACCACATTCGCGTATAATAGAAAGCAACACTGTTCCCGGCGTAGCCTTAAGGACGAACAGGCAAAATAGCCCCAGAATATCACGTTCTAATACACGTTGTTTAAGTTATGACATTCCAAGTCATCCCGGACGACGAGTGCGTCGCCGGAGACATGTGCCTCAGAAGTTGTAGGTGGCCGCATGGTGCCAAGTTATGCTGTTTATCCATTGAAGGCATCCAGAGGTGTTGCATAAGGCGTGCCAGAGGAGTATTTGGGCTGACAGGCGCAGCCACTCTCCACCATGACGTAGTCTTGCCCCGTGAGTGTTACGGGACCGAGCGGGATCACCAGGAAGAGGTACGGAGTGAAGGTCTGCGTACAGCGTCCGTGGATGATGTCGCATTCTTCCGAACTGACGAAATATGTTCAGCTTTATGACAGTACCATAGAAATTAATACCTTGGAGAAATTAATAACTAATAATGATTGGAGTATCTTAAAAGACTCCAATCATACATTATAGTAATTATATATATTAAATATATTTTACTAATATATAGGGAATTCATTTTTCAGCAGTCAAGGAAATTCACGTTGCGATTAGAACCATTTTCAACTGGAACAACAACAGGACCATAAATGAAGTGGTAAGCGAATTATGGTTTTTACCGGCTCAACAACGACGACAATGAGAGACATCATCTGGCTACGCAACCAAATCATGCGGGTAATTTCGATACTGAAATGTGTCTTGGACGAAGAAAAAATTGGCAAGTCCTTAGCTTTAAAACTCGCGCGCTCTTTGTGCAACTCCATCCGTTAGAATGTGAGCGATTCACGAAACGATAAGCAACCATTAATCAGAATTTATATCTTCTATTGATGCTCCGGAATTTTTTCGAAATTAATTCGGAGATTCAGTTTTACTATTGTTAATGTCAAATTACAATAGAATACAATACAATAAACGAAGATTACTGCCACATGCGATTTTAACATCAGTGAATAAATTGTATCTCGTAAATAGATAAACAGGGTAACAGTGCTCTGGTAAATAACAAAGCCACGTTTTAAATTGAGATAGTAGATGTACATACCCGCAGCAGGATAACACGGGTACATAAATCTTCGGCACTGCAAAAACATGCATTTACAGACATATGTATAGGCAAGACATTGTACGCGGGCTATTCAGGAACTAAGGAACGTTTTGTAATAAAACAAAAAATAGGTACAGGAAAGATATTCTATTACATACATCTGAAGGAGTGACTAAAATGCTTCGTTTCTACATAGTCACCAAACAAATTAAGGCACTTATCGTAGCGGCGGACAAGCTTCAGAATTCCTTCGTCATAGAAATCCGCCGCGTGCGATCTCCGCCACTCAGTGACACACGCCCAGAGCTGGTCGTCGTCAGCAAAACGCTGTGTCGCTAGCCAGTTCTTCGTTTTCGGGAACATGTAAAAATCATTCGGTGCTAGGTCGGGACTGTAGGGTGGATGTGTGACAATGCGTTATGCGTTTTAATGACGACGACGAGCTCCGGGCGTGCGTCACTGAGTGGCTGAGATCGCGCGCGGAGGATTTACATATATGACGTAGAAATATGACGATAAAAGTAGCATTTTAGTAACAATAAAAGTAGTATTTTAGTGACGAAAAATGTAGCATTTTATACACTTATTCAGAGGTATATCATAGAATATCTTTCCTGTACATAGTTTTTGTTTGATTTCAAAAGGTTCCCTAGTTTCTGAATAGCCCTCGTATGGATGAAGCTGGTCATTAATATTGTGGACGTCATCGCTCACATGCACTCGTGGAATATGACTTGTTGCAGGAGATCGGGGAACTTCTGTACGATCGTGACCTTCTTTCCTGATGTTAGGCTCCTTCCCCACATGGGTGCTGTGGTGTTGTATTTGGTGGGGCAGAGCTGCGCTGGGGGAGTTACCCCCACGCCGCAGCCTCCTGGCAAGGGTGACCCCCCGTCAGCTTGTCTCTGCGTGGCGTTGGTGGTAGCATCTTCTTCTATTATTCTGATCTCTTCGTCCACGTGGCCGGCGATGAGGTTGCGCGCTGCCGACCGCCCGGGGACATAGGACCTTGACTCGCGGTTGGAACTGCGACCTGCAAACATACACCGCACGTTAACATCAAGATATTAAGATCAACAGCAAATTGTATAACAAAATTACTCTTCACACAATTTTTTCCAGCTGTAACACGCAGCTCATTATCCCATCAGTTAACGAAAAGATTCATTAGCGGTTATTTCCTACTTTACATCATTAGAATGAGGACATACCCTCCATGGGGAGATCTTGGGGCAGGATGCCGCCCAGGTCCTGACTCCGGAGCAACAGGTTGCTCACCACGCTCGGGTCGAGCGTTGGCCCGAACAGCGCCCGGCCGCGACCCAGCGCCAGTCTCGAGCCCCCGAACTCCCCGGCCTCGTACATCGCGTCGATGAGGCTTCTGGAAGTCAGGTTTTAAAGGCGTGCCTTAGCAAGGAGCAAGTCGCCATGGCAATAGTGTACTGTCATGAGTTCACTGTAGGAAAAATACAGTGCATGGAAACTTAAAGGCAAGCCTTAGTAAGGAGCAAGTCGTCATGGCAATAGTGTACTGTCATATGTTCACTTTAGGAAAAATACATTGCATGGAAACTAATTATTGATTTTTATATAGTAAATACAAACGTTCTACAGGAATGTTAACTATCATTAAAGTTATGGAAACTCCTAGAAATTAGGTCTTATAAGTGACACGAATCACTTAATTATAATTAGGTTAGTAGATTCTTTACATTTGGTGAATTTAGAGCTATATTTAAAATATGATAATTTGAATCTATTTGCCTAATCATATCATTACAAACATAATTTAATGGTGTCATAACATGCCTAGCGCAGTAAGGAATAACAATAGTTGCGAGCTAAATATTTCATCAGGCTAATTCGATCACTCACTGAGAATATGCCGGTCCCATTATTTTGAATTATTTTCATTTACAGCTCGTATTAAACTCTATGTGATTACAGCATTTCCGATATTCTAGTTTCTCCCCTTTTATCTTCATAGACTTATTAATTTACATTAAGAGTGCATGCAGAATCTTCAATTTGTATTCTACAAATATTTCATTAAATCACGAAGATATGCCTCCATTAAGGTTGCTCTACATTTACTTTATAATTAGAACGTATATATTAATGTTGCTCTGCATTTACGTTATAATTAAATAGTAAAGATTATTAAGGTGCTCTACATTTAATTCATAATAATAACGTAAATATTAAGATTGCTCTGCATTTACAGTATAATTAGAACAAAAATATTAAGTTGCTCTTCATTTACAGTATAATCAGAACGTAAATATTACAGTTGCTCTGCATTTACATTATAATTAGAACGTAAATATTAAAGTTACTCTACATTGACATTATACGTAATCAGAATGTAAATATTAAAGTTACACTAAATTGACATTATAATTAGAACGTGAATATTAAAGTTGCTCTACATTTACATTATAATTAGAACGCAAAAATTAAAGTTGCTCTACATTGACATTATAACTAGAATGTAAATATTAAAGTTGCTCTACATTTACATTATAATTAGAACGTATTATTAGGGTTTCTCTACATTTACCTTACAATTATCATGTAAACATCAAGGTAACTGGGAGCAGTCACCTGGGATAAGGCACTCCGTCAGGACCCATGGAGTCGAGGGAGTCTCTAAGGGCGTCGCCCCAGAGGTGGCGAGGCTCTGCTCCGCCCTTCGTCAGGCTCCCCAGCAGCGTCGCCAGCAGCAGCGGCGTCCCGCACTTCATCTGCACGTAAACACAGCTGCTTAATAACGGCTTGAAATGTGCTGATATATATAAAAAGAATCTGCCGATGTAATCACTAGTGACTAAATAATAAAACACGTTAATGAGAGAGACGAATGTATGATGGCAACATGTTTAGGGAAGCACTGATGATGAACTTGAGTGCCTTGAAAAGGAAGAATGATGGAGCGATGACTGAAGAGAAAATTGGACTTTACTGGTGGAGATTCTTTCCGATAATGAAAATTTGGAAAAGCTGAATCTTTCACAAGCTAATAATGGCAAGCTTGCTAGGTTGAATTCCGATATGTAAGATCGAAAATAGTACAGAGCAAAAAGCATTATGAATTGTTGAAAAGAATGTATGAATCCTCTCCTTTTCAGTCAGATTCATTAACGTAATGAGCTTCTCGTGCAGCACGAATGCACGAGTCCATGGTTGTGATCCAGCGAAGTATAATAAATAATTCGTACAGTTCATGTAATTCCCGACAATGGCGACCGAATGAGGTTAAGTTCATTTGAATTATTTTCTTAGTAATCAAATTAGTTTGTTTATGGATAATTCAGAGAAGTTTCGTTGATAATGAAGGCAGGGAGCGGAGAGACTCGGGTCATAGTCAGCACGTAACGGGAAACATCTCACGCGTGCCCCACATTACGCCGCGGTAACGGGACAACTGAACGCCGGCGCCCGTCCAACCGCCGCTCAACTCCGTCCTGCGCATCGTTTGTTGGGATCCTGTCATATTCCAGCGACTGGACTTTAAAAAAATCTATATTGTAACTAAATCAGCTGATTACTGTCGGCTTTTCAATCGGAACCCACCAATCACAGACGAAAAAGCGGGCCGCTACGCGCACCGAGGCCGCTACGTGTTCTTATGCCGCAACTTGTAGCTGCATGGGCCGCTATACGTGTATACTTAATTAAGCAAGTAAGTTTTGATTTACTTGAGCGGCTTTCTAGGCAGCTCGCGGAAAATAAAAGGTATTTTTTCCTAGTGGACTGATTTCTCATGGTAAAGTGATTGTTAGAGAGACCTGACGACCGAGAAAACTTGAACATTCCATTTCTAGAACACAATGAGATTCTTTGCGTTCCAACGTTCAAATACTCATGGAAAACGATCCATTAAGAAACTCAAACTACCATTCGTAATAATTGAGCAGAAAAGTTCCCAGGATTTCCTAATTCCTAATCGAATAAAATATACTGTAAAACTATTGCATATTAGGTCAACATCCAGACCTGCATGAAAAAATCGTACTTAATAATAATCGTAATTATGCACTCCTACATGAATGCTCGCTTACAGTACCAACAATGCAAACAGAACCAAATGAACGGTGAACGCGTAATGCAGGTAATGCGTGTGAGCTAAAACCCTGGGCGGCTGCCAAGCCCTCCAGCTTTCTGGGCAATATTGTATTCCAGGAAGGATGGTCGGGTGAAAATTAGTAAATATTCATGAATTATACCGTAAACCTACTAAGAATGAAGCAGTGAGGATAAGGAGTGCCATTGAGGACTCGTTATATCTAACCTACTGAAGGTGATACTCAGAAATATTACAGCATTATTTTGGCCCAGAGAGGTGACACAACTTTTTACTCACAGCTCGAACAAAGGATACAAGTAATAGGTACTGATATACGCCCTTACGAACAAAGGGTGCAAGTAATACTGATACGCCCTTACGCTGGGCGAAACTTGGTCTGAATGACCCATGCATGGGCAAGAAGTGCCTCACTGCATGTGGGTTCGTTGTTTCACTTATTTCCCTGAGTGGAAGAAGCTTATTTGGTGATACTAAATTGCTAATTAATGACCAATTAAGGGTTTAAAAAGGATGGAGTATTCAGGATATTTTCAGGATATCAATGGTTTTAAAATGCAAGTTTTTTCAGGTCTTTGGGAGCACATACTGCAATATTCTGTGTCACTCATGACTACATAATTTCAAGAAAGAGCTAGAACATTACTTATTATAAGTAAGTTACAAGTTCAATACGAAATATACTCATATTTGTATTAAATTAATGCCATGGAACTGATAAAGGCTTTATTAGAATGTGAATAAATGTGTTTTTTAAAAACAACAAAATGTTTTCCTATTTGCACATCTTTCGAATCTCGTTCAGTCTATTCACGAGGAGACCTTTACAAAAAATAGAGCCTCAATAATAACGGTCTTTCTATTGTCGTGTAAGAGGCAGCATTTTTATGAAAAGGAAAAACTAATTTCAAAATTAAGAGGAATTAATACGGAGAAAACTTTGAATTGCTCTGCAACGTTGAGCCGTTTACAACCGAATAATTTACTGCGAGTTTAGCAGAAAATACTGAAAAATCCATAAATAGTATCTATATAAAACAACAATAACAGCTAAAAACAATGTGCTCTGATCCCTACATTGCATCCGGACCATCGCTCAGCAAGCGCGCGCAGAACAATTATAACGCATGATCCAGCAATACGTAATTTACGCATATATACGCAGCTGCCGAGAGCGAACAATCGTGCAAAACAATCGGCAGCGGCTAATCATCTACAACGCATTACTGACGTAAAAGTTGACGTAATTATTATATGTCGAATAATTCTGCGCAGCAATTATTCGAATCTTTTCTGCAATGGCATTAAGTTTTTAAAATGCTTCATAAACCTATTCAAAATCACGCTGTGCCCTGGGAACGATTGAGCTGATTAAACATAATTAAATACATGATTTTATATTGGCGACATATAATCAATATCAAACGAAATAGAAAGCCAGCATGAGACAATTAGTGCAGCCCAACTGCCAGCATTTGGGTTGCAGGTGACACGCGGCCTGTTGCGACACTCGCACCAGCAGGTTTGTAACGTAAAAGTATCTTATTTATGTTGGTTGACGCATTATTGTTCACCTACATCGTATTAAAACCTGCTACAATGACATCGATTTATTTTCATTTTCACTATAGGAGAATGGAAAAAAAATTCTGGAAAAAACGTTGCAATTACTATCAGGTTAGAGAAAACAAAAACGGTGTAGCTTAACTAACTGTGTATGACTGGAATTTGAAGTAGCTGATCGACAGTAAAACTTTCTTTCACTTTCTTGTCGGCTATGAGTAAAATTTTGAGTACTATCCGGTCCTAATAGCAAATTTGTACTATTATCAAATTATATTAATCCTCAGATTAGAAATGATTCGTTCCGTAGAGTTTACCTGTGATTGTATATGCGGCTAAATCGCAGCTGCAGTTTATGTTAAAAAATTTTAATTAATTAGAATAAAATAAATTAATGTTGTTACAATGATTAATATGTCACTCAAGTTTTTCATAATATTCTGACTATAAACACGCATTTTTCTAATAAATTTTCGGTAATGAAATCACAGCGACTATTGAAATCACAGCGAGTATTTGCTATGGTAAGAGACGAGTTTGTACTCGTGCATCTGATGGCTGGGAGCAACAGGCGCTCGGAGCGCCAGAACCTGGCTACCGTTACGTCAGTTAACGGGACCAGGCTTGTGCTTCCCGGCGTCATGTCTCATGAAGCCTTTTGATTGAATCAAAATTTAAAAAAAAAACGTATAATGGGCTGAAGCCTTCCTCTACAAGCAAGAATGTGCGAGAATGGCGCTTAACAATAAATACGATAAAATAAAAGGAGTTTAATTAGAAGGAAAAATTAACTGGAGGAATTTAATGACTTTCCTTCTCGTGTCCATCAGCGGGCAGAAACCATAGCAAAAAATTAGGAAATTATAAGTCAATTTGATTCATCCTTTTGATTCGTAAGGAAAATCCGCAACGACCACATATGAATTCCCTGGCACGTCGTTGCCTCTAATTGGATTTCTTTTTTCGGTACAGCTTATTTGTAAAGCTGTAACAAATTTTTTATAGCCTCTGATGTCGCTGTAATGTGCAAGGAACGAATGTAGCCATGCACTGCATATTCTTGGAAAATTGAACTAAGAAAAGTCTTGCAAGTCTTTCTATCTCGTATCTCATATGTAAACTGAAATACGTTGGATGCAAAACTATTGCAGGACCTATAATATTTATACTTAGTAGTAAACCTTAGCAAAACAAAGTAGAAACTGAAGAAATAATTGAGCTTGATTGCAGCACGAGAAGATTTAATCTTTCCTAGTGTGATTTTATAAATCATCGTAAACACAACCTCATTGGGCTCAACTTTCGTGCCACGGTCCCCTTGTGCAAAGAGATAAGCTGCATGGAGTCCAGTCAGGCGCTCTGGCACACTTTCCATTCCACAGTCTGCCTCAAAAACCATTCAGTCCCTGTATGATATTCCATACACGCGCTTGGTACTGCCAGTGACACAAATGGCACTTGGCTTTTGCGTCTTAAATTACGTTTAGTTCACACGCAATAAGGTTAAAAATAAACACACAAATATGGTACCATGAAAGAAAAGTAATAATATTCAGTGGATGTACTAAGGCAATACTTTTGTTCGCAGGCTACATTGTTCAGTCTTCACCACAACGAGGTCAGGAAACGAATAAATCTTGAAGCAACGATGCGCCTTTTCAATCTTACGGTACATGCAGCTTGCAACCTCAAAAGGTTATCATAAATAACGTATGAGTTAAAATCCAAGCCATTACCATTACCAAACAATTAACTATACATATACTCAACAAATTCAACTATTCTTCTCTTCCACGATGCTGCTTAAAAACACCGAACAATTTTCAAAGTCTTATACATGTTCAGCGCACTGGGCCTTGATATGTAATCACAATTTGTTCAATAGAATTCATTCCCCATCGAGATACAAACAAATATGTTAAAACTATATCACTCTATCATGCCGTCGACAGCTGTCGCTACGTGGGTACTCGTCTACAAGAATGCTAATTAACAATTACCCGCGGAAACATTTATAATAGTTAATTTTTAATGTGAATCCCGAAGGCGAAACTCAGAACTATAAATTCGCGTTGATTGTATGGCGTAATGTGCGACTTCATGCAGGCAATGACATCAGCCAAATAAAAAGCTTTGGAAAAGCCGTTCTGAGCATCGCCTCCTAAATATAGCAGGAAAATCTGGATGCCGGTTCCCAAAAATGATTTTTTTACTATATTCGCTGTTTACCAGTAACTTGGAATAAACCATGGCAATGGCAGAGAAGGAATTCCTACTTAATTTCAAGTTCTTTGCAAAACTGTATTTTTTCCTGTATTTTTTAGAAGCACTTATAGTAGTGCTGCAAGACCAAAACAAAAAATTACATCAAATATGATAATAATTAGTGTGCTTTTATTCACCATTCAAATACGGCATTTGATCCATACAAATACTTTTATCATATAGACCCATTTAAAGAGCTTAAAAATGCAATTTTTCAATTTTTATGTTGAGGTTCAGTTGGCGCTCAACTTATTTATGAAAACATCAACCTCACTAGCTGCATGCTCATAACTGAAATCCTTCAATGAAAAATCTGATATTTGTATCTATAACACTACAAATTTTATGATAAAAAGTGCCCACATTGTAATTGACTAATTGACATGTACTCGTGCCTGCGATCTTGAGCAGCCAGCTTTGTTTTCTGGGAGCATAATAATAATAAAAATTAAATAAAATTGGGACCTCGATCAACGAAACGAGACTAACGGACTATATAGGAGCTTTAGAATTTTCCAAAATGTAAATTTTTTATCGAGAGGTAATGAAACATATCAGTTGATCATTGATTTGAAATTTGAATGATGAGTGTCCAGATATTTTTGAGCTATTCTCTTGTTTAGTAACACGCAAAAATGGTCAAATTTCACTTTTACTTCCTGGTTTGTTCCTAACTGATTGACAATCAGACAATGATATGCAAATAAACTCTTTATAAATAAATTAAAAATATTAATTCAAGGTTTGGCGAATTCTGCTATTTATTTTGTTGAGCGCCAACTTTATGGAGAGTGGGCCTTATGGAGATAGCCTTGTTATTTAGCAAAAAAATAATTGAACTTTGTTATATGTGACTTAGAAAATAGAGGTCTCCAACTGACGATAATAGATGTTAAGTTATGTTGGCAGCCAAATGTAACTTAACCTACCCTATTGCCCGTCAATAATTAAGTGTGTAATTTGTTTATCTTTGATCATTGCGTTCAGAGGGTCTCGCTTTGATTCGCTTCGTAATAGAATGTTATCTTTTTTATATAAGCCTCGTAATCTATACTTATAAAATTTGTAACTTTTTGGAAACAATTGTGCTCAAAGTTTCTTTGTTTATATTCTCCAGTAGAGAAGGTGGTTGCATGGAATTTAAATTGAATGTAATATCGGGCATTTTTACAACACTTCTCTTTAACTTCACTTCTTGTTTGTCTGTCTGTCTGCTACAAATCTTGTAATTAATCGAAATTTAATACACTTCAACTTATCCTATCGATCTGAAATTTTGCACACTTGTTTAAAGTTGGAGATAATGCATGAATCAAATGTCAAAATAAATGATTTTTAAAATTACAATTTTTTTTTCAATATTAAAAAAATTGAAAAAATCATTTTGTCAGCTACAAATCTTATAACTGATATTTGACACACTTTTACCTGTCTAATTGATAGGGCCTTATAGGCATAGCCTTGTTATTTAGCAAAAAAATAATTGAACTTTGTTATATGTAACTTAGAAAAAAAGGTCTCCAAATGACGATAATAGATGCTAACTTATGTTGGCAGCCAAATGTAGCTTAACCTACCTACCCTATTGGCATTGCCCGTCAATAACCAAGTATGTAATTTGTTTATCTTTGATCTTTGCGTTCAGAGGGTCTCGCTTTGATTCGCTTCGTAATAGAATGTTGTCTTTTTTATATAAGCCTCGTAATCTATACTTATAAAATTTGTAACTTTTTGGAAACAATTTTTTCCCTATTTCTTACATTTTTCAGGGAAAAGTTTCTTCGGTCTCAATATTTTTCTCGCCTCGTTGTCCTAGTTCATTCCGAGAAACCAATTCCGAGGCGAAGGGGTTTATCCTGAAGTTCTGGATTTCATATTTTTTAGTAAATTCTACCTCTAACTCTTTTCTGGAGGTTTGGTTACAGTGTCTAGCCAACCAATCGATATCCGGTTTGCTTGAAACCGTTCTCTCTCTCTGTGACGTTGACAAAGTTGAGAAAATCGGGGAGAAAGTAGTGCAGGTAAACCACACATGCACCTGTTGGACAGTATGGCTAGAGCGGGTAACCCGCTGCAAATATATCAACGGAAGTGTCATTCCGGTACTCCCTGGGAATGGGGCTTGTAGGAGGTGAACTTCTTCCCCGCACACAACAGAGTTGTGGCCAAAGTAACACTTTTAGTAGACGGCAGTAGCTGATATGGAGGTAGTAGACTGGAACAGTCAGATGGAACATGTCCCGTTTGAATAGACAGAAGTCCTTTTTGGTACAAAACTAGGTCGGCTCCAGCGGAAGTGTGGCACCATCGCTAAAGATAGCATGTGAAAAAATGCAACTACAATTTAAAATAAAATGATCATTTTTTTTCTTGACTTTATATGTTCACGATTTAGAATAGAACATGAGGCACAATTTTCGTATGACATTCAAGATCGTTCAACTTAACATTAGCAGCGTTTAAACTTATAAATAGCCACCCTATATATAACAAACCGATCTGGCACTCCAGGCAGCATGGCTGTAGGTAGTCGACGAACTGCGACTATTGTTGGTAAGTCATCTCAAAATCTCAGTTGGAATCTTCTCCACATCTCAGCTACTGAATAAAGTTTGATCGCAAGAACAATGCACTCTTGTCACGTCTGTAGACATTGAGAGCATACAGCACAAACTCAGCGTCCTGTGCAGGCGAAGCTTGTCGGGCAGATTCAGCCTCATAAGGCAGTTCGTTCACCCAGCGATCGTCTCATCACGCGCGTCCTGTCCGCAGCCACACGCCCATTCCATCTAGAACAATTTTGTGCTTGCGCCATGTTTTAGCCGAAAACAAATTTAATGCGAGTATCGCGGTCAACGATGCAAATGACTAATATTATAGAATCAGATCATTGTATTTGGTTCGCAATGAATCTCGTGAATCCTTACACTGTGTGGAACAATTCCAAGCATTTATTTCACGGTACTCTATCGGGACAATCAATGGAATACGATAGTTTATGAACTAATTATAATACCGACTAACCGTACGAAAATCATAATAGAAATGGAATCAATCGGTAGGTTATCATGAACAATTTCTGAAACTTTCTTTGCATGTTCATCATTTTCATCAGAATTATCTGGCGTTAAAAAAATAATAATTTGTGCGTAAAATTCTTAAGTTTAGGTAATTTATTTCAGCCGGTTGCCATGAAAGAAGAAATGCTGAGGCAGCAGAGCAATCATTTAAATAATGGCGTTAATGAGGCGCTCCTCTTACCGAAAGATTAAAATGACCGTTATTGTACTACAAATATTGTCGGAAACATAACTTTTTCGGCTCAAGAGTGCACGTTAATTTTTACGCTTCAAAGAGATTCGTGACGGAAATGATTGATGCAGAACTGTATACAAGTGCAATAGGCGAAAGTGGGAAAGTAGCTTGGCGTTTTTTGTAGACGTAATTACATGTTGGATGACAGGCGGGTTGGTTTACTCTCTTCTTCGGTCGCAACTAAACTGAGGACACAGATTCGGTGGTGCAAATAATCAAACAAAACACTCAGTTAACGATGTCACTCTCGTTGTAAACGATGGAAGAGAATTTCCCTGCTGCTTTATCTTTATCGCCATCATCTAACTGAAGTTTACAAGCGAGGCTTATGAATAATTTTAATAGCACATGACTTTATCCTTACATGGATAAACAATTACTATCCAGCTGCGTACTCAACTGCCATTACGAATTAATTCAGCAATAATGTTTGGATTTCTCTGATCTTTCACAGCAAGGAACAACATTAGGACCTCCAGTTAGGCCTAGGTGTATCATAGATACAAGGCCACATCATGCCCTCCAGCAGCGATTTCACTTATGCAACGATGCCTTCAAGCCCACCGCCTCATGGTATCTAAAACAGAGTTAACCCGTAGTGGCTCGGGATGGATACTTAATGAGATTTCTTGATTCTCTGATGCTCATATGCCTTATTGATCATTGATATGAAAAAAGCTTTAAATGACAACAATCGTCTTCCTTGCTTCCCTTCTGAAGCAACAGTCAAATTTTTAAAATTCATGTTCAAGTCGTTTTTCGAAAAATCAATAGGCCTCCATTTTGGGGTTTGAAAAATTTTGTTTTTATTTTCAGAATGAAATTACATTATCAAGAAATTTAAGTTGAAATAAATTATTCATTCAAGTTTAACTCACGTTTGGCAATATAAAATTAACTATTTGAAATACCAAATTAATGTTCCATGTTCGTTATAATATTTCAAATCATTAATTAATGAGGATATCACGGTAACACCCCATTTGTTTCAAGGACTTAGAGTGAAGGCACGAACGCACCCACGCCCTCAAAGATTCAACAGAGAAACGAATAGCGTTAATGGATTTAATGATATTTTTTGTCGTAGTTAAAATGGACTAACCCATTTTTGGGGGCTTCCAAAATGACTCCGAAGTTTCCCGTTTTTCTATATCCATATGCAAATCGTTTCCAATGGAATTATAGTGCACATGACACATGAAATAATGCAAAATTTCAACGCTTTTTTGACTTCATACATGGAGATTCAAGGGCATTCAAATACGATGACAACTAAAGCTATAGAAGTAAAAAAAAAACGTTCCAACGTTAAAAGAAACTTTAATCTATATCACACAAGAAAAAGAGTTTGAATTGATGCACTTTACTGGAATAAAGTAGAACACAAATAATGAAATGGCGCATTTTATCATCTCAAAATTTAAAATTAATAAACTTACACGCCTTTAGGCAAAAATTACTTACAGTAAAACAGTGTATATAAAAGTTGTGCGCTCGAAAGCCTGTTCAACCACGTAGTAAATTTATACAAGCTCTAACTCTAGATATAGAATTCAGTGAGCTGCTCGCCAAACCACCATTCCAGCTACATAAAACTAATATTCAATTCGCTGAGTTAACGAGAGTTTATTAAGCAAACTCGTGAATATATGCCGCGCGCACTCTTTTGCCTCCACCTCACACCCTTAAATCTCCTCGACGACTGTGAACGTTCGAGCCTTACACTAGGCATGCAAGTCAACATCTGCCCTAACATGCGCGTTTTTGTGTCTTCTGTCAGGTTTGCAGCTTAGTCCGGAGAGATGTCGATCTGATCATTAAGTAACCAATTAAAAAGCTATGGCTCGCAAAATTTAGGCACAACGACTTTGTAAAATTAAATTTAAGCTCTTTAAATATCAATAATGAGCCTTCTCAAATAATTTAGTGATATCCTTAAAAATACCAAAATATGGGGTGGCTGTGAGGAAGTCATGAATAATGAATATGAAGATTAGGAATTCAAATTTTCTTAGATATTTTATGCGATTAAAATGCAAATACAACAATAATAGATCAAAAATAGTTGAATATTGACAGTATATGTCTAAATTAAGTGTTCGTATGCTGCCACTTATCATATAACAAATTTGATTTGTCAAATTTTTTAATAATCCTGAATCCCATCTATATTAAACCTGCAATCGGTTTCTAACAGATATTGAAGTGTTGTAAATCCAACACTCACTAGCTTTTAGTTACTTAAATCTTATATATTAGTTTGTTTGTTTGTTTGTTACGTCATTAAAACTAGAGAACCATCACATACGCTCTTTTGTAGACATCTCGATCGTGATTGGCTAGTTACCGGTTGTATTTTAGTAGAGGCAAAATTTGAACTGGAAACCGCAGGGCGTCAAACAAAATTTACCTGTTTCTGTCTTGACTAAATCTTGAGTGTAATTTCTAATCTATCTACTGACGCGGTTTCGCCATGAAAAGCGTGTAAGTATGAGTTGCATTGAGTATTTGTTTAAGACTGAAGTTTCTCATAAGATATTCAATGATTTCGTACCCTCTGCTACTCGGACGGCCCAGGCAGGCCTCAGCTACCCTGTAAAGTTAGTAAACAGCTGACTGTTGCTCATCCCTAGTTGGAATATTCTTGGATTAAACACAAATACGGAAAAACCTATTAGTATTAGGCTAGGCTCTGACTAAGGATTAAGGTTTTAAATGAGAACCGTTACAGTTTTACTGAAATGCATAGGCTAGGGTCACGTACCTAGGCTCCAGACAATATTGGATTGTTTCTAATTCTAGTTATGGGCTAGGATATAGGCCTATTGTATGGCTCTAAGTAAACATATTTCAATAAAATTACAATTTCATGGCCTAACAATGCAGTTTTGATAGCAATTTCAGTTTCACTAGATTAGTCTGGAATCTGGATAAAACCCAATTTGGAATATGTGGCAGTTGGCAGAAGTTTATTAGAATTGTGGGTAATAAGCTGTTTTGTAGTTGATTTTTGAAAATTGTGGATAAAAATAAGATTCTTTGTAGATTTTCCACTGAAGAAATTGAAAAAAGACCATCTAAATAGATTAGGATAAACACACCATATTCCGACAAAGTGACAATCAACATTGTGGGTAATTTCAACACTTCTCAACTTTTTCCTTTATATTACGGCATAATTACGCTTTGTCTTAGTTCCACAGCTTCCACTCATAGTGGCAAAGCAGAGAGTTCTTTAGACTCTCCCTCAAGTTCATTTTTGAGTCCTATATGTAGACCATTAAAGTACCGTAAAATGGGGTAACTTAGACCACTTTTTTCTTTATAACTGATGCCATTTTTTTACTAGCTAAATTAAACTTGAATTGAAACATGCAAAATACAGGTCTATACTCTAGCTTCACTCACCATAAATTGCTGGCTCCTGCCTCTCATAGTCTTTATGTAATTTAAAAAAAAGTGATGGTCTTTGTTACCCCAGCTCTTGGGGTTACTTNCTAATCAAGGGATTGCTGTACAGCTCACACAGCAAACGGAATTCGAACACGTGGATGTCGGCAATACGTATCAGTTAAATTTGAAGCGCAATACGACTCACCACATGGCGAATATTGCCACACAAAGTGACGGAATATAGGGATTTGGTAGGTTTCCATTCTAAAGGCTTTTTAATAAATATGGCAACATTTTGTGACGTTTCATCGTTGCTGACGCGTAGTGAAGTGTTTTGAGTCATGTGAAGGCAACAGAACTTACGTAACGCATACAGTTTTTTATAGTTTTTCATTTCTCAATGCGTCCTTAATGTGTCGGAATATACCGCGTTTACCCTAATTCTGACAAAGCTCGGAATTACACACACAGCTCGTTCCTATCTGTCATATTCTGATGCAGCTCACACAGGTTATTGGAATTCCAAATACAGAGCGGTGGAATTATGATTTTGAAGCGCTGTCAGAATTAGTCTCACAATATGCTGCATTTAGTCACACACATGTCGTAATTTTAAGAATAAAGGCTAAAACTAAAAAAGTTGCATAAAACATTTTACTGAATAGAAGTCCTAGGTAAACAAAACAGAATGTTTCGGGCTATGCCCATCATCAGCTAGTAAAATACATCTGGAAATACATGGAAATTAATTTTAGTAAATGAATTTAGAAAATGATAAGGAAAGAAAGGAAAAAAAACACAACTATTGACCTAGAAGCAAAAGAGGAAAAGAGCTGGATTGGTTATTCAATTTAGGTTTAAGTTTATGGATGTAAAGAGACTCTAAAATTCGTAGATTGGTTTGGCTGCTAGCGTTGAAAAGAATTTTAGATTGATTGATGGACACGGAGGAGCAAGTGAGCACTGTTCTGTATGAAGTCTGATGAATGAGGCGGCTGAGCAAGTGGACGCCCAGTACGGAAACTTCTTCCAGCATGTTCGGCAACTCTGGTGAAAAGTGCTCGTGCAGTCATACCGACGTAGCTAGATGCACATTGTGCACAACTGAAAGAATACACCAGAGAAGACCTAGATGCTAAAGGAAGTCTATCTTTGTAATTGAAAAAAGAACCTATTGTAAATTTATTTACCAAAATAATATTGAACTCTATACCGATGAAATATTCCGAGAGAAGCCTTTGGATATCAATTTTCATGCGTTTGGATTGGTGGCCGAAATAAGGAAAGGACAGGTAAATTTTTCTGAGGGACGGGCCAAATGTGATGGATGGTGGGTCGTACCTTTTAGATAAAATATTTGAAATGAGTTTGTCAATAAGAAAGGATGAATAGCCGTTGTTGCGAAAAAACTCTTTGAATACAAAACTTTAACTTTACCAGCGAATTCATCTCGGAACAAAATCCCTGCACCCAAAGTCCATCACTCCATAGAACTTACTACGGACAAGCCAGTATTCGCAAAAGTACGACATTTGTCAGAAGCAAAGTTGAAGATAGCTAAACAAGAATTCAAGACTCTACTCAATGCTGGCATTATTAGACCTTCCAAATCACCATTTTCTTCACCAATCCACATGGTTCCCAAAAGCAAACCTGGCGAGTGGAGAGTTTGTGGCAACTATCGCAATCTAAATGCAATTACAGTTGTTGATCGATATCCTCTGCCTTTACTCCATTCTGTATCACCAAAGTTGCACAACAAGAAAATATTCTCAAAGATTGACCTACTCCGAGCATACCACCAAATCCCCATGAATCCTCGGGACATCGAGAAGCTGTCTCTTATACACATCTAGATGTGTATAAGAGACAGTAGCCGTTGTTGCGAAAAAACTCTTTGAGAAATACAAATTCGTCATGTAAAAACACATAGCTTGAACAAACTCTAAAAGCTCGGGACAACAATGTCTTCACAGGATTTATTTTAAACCTAGAGGTACAGAAACTGTAAAAACTGATACAGAAACTGTAAAAACTGAGTCCTAAACCAGAAAATGAACTGTTTCTAAAAACCGAACATTTAAAACTATTGCCATCTCTATGAACCAAACAATCTAAAAATGATAATTTTTTTTTCTACTTCAGGTTCCATGGTAAACTTGATATTCATATGTTTACTATTCAGATAATTTAGAAATAAAGACAAATGAGATTGGCAATGGTAAATATATTTTGGTAAATAAATTTACAATAGGTTCTTTTTTCAATTACAAAGATAGACTTCCTTTAGCATCAAGGTCTTCTCTGGTGTATTCTTTCAGCTGTGCACAATGTGCATCTAGCTACGTCGGTATGACCGCATGAGCACTTTTCACCAGAGTTGCCGAACATGCTGGAAGAAGTTTCCGTACTGGGCGTCCACTTGCTCAGCCGCCTCATTCATCAGTCAGACTTCATACAGAACAGAACAGTGCTCACTTGCTCCTCCCATGTCCATCAATCAATTTGAAATTCTTTGTAACGCTAGCAGCCAAACCGATCTACGAATTTTAGAGTGTCTTTACATCCATAAACTTAAACCTAAATTGAATAACCAATCCAGCTCTTTTCCTCTTTCGATTCTAGGTCAATAGTTGTGTTTTTTTCCTTTCTTTCCTTATCATTTTCTAAATTTATTTACTAAAATTGATTGCCATGTATTTCCAGATGTATTTTACTAGCTGATGATGGGCATAGCCCAAAACATTCTGTTTTGTTTACCTAGAACTTCTATTCAGTAAAATGTTTTATGCAACTTTTTTAGTTTTAGCCTCTATTCTTAAACTTGAAGAACTCCTTGAGATATTGTGAACTACATGTGTTAATTCAGCAATTTTGTAGTTTTGAATTTTAAAGGCTTTTAAATAAATATGGCAACAGTTTGTGATGTTTCATCATTGCTGGCGCATAGTGTAGTGTTTTGAAAGTGACGTAAACTAATCCAAACGGGAGTTGCGCATAAGGTGATCTATTTATAGCCATTTATTTCTTGCTACTTCCATAAGGTGTCAGAATATGGTGTGTTTACCCTAACATGGCCAACTTCATCCAAATCCAGCTCCATCATTAGTTCGTAGAATCACAAAATTAGAAGTCACAAATTGATACAATCCTTGAAACTTGAAAACCCAGAAAAAATTCAAAATCTAAATTCACAAATGATGAAGTATAGACAGTAAAACAGAGCACAAAAACCCTATATTCATAATTAATTCCAGGAGCATAGGAGCCAACTAGTTGAATTCAAACTGGGCCTAAGTTTAAAAATGTACAATGATTCTAAAATACGCAAATCTGAAGTTCCAGAGGTGTAAGCTAACACACTAAAAAGTTACTGTCAGAAACTGGGACATAACACTGCTTGGCGAGTTGGCGTGATTGCCCGCAGCCAAAATAGGGGGGCATCATGCCCCCACACTCCTATCGCTGGGACACTCCTATCACTCACTCCTCACTGGGGAGGGGTGTCACGCCCCCCCTAGTTGCTATCACGCCGTGATGGCAACACTCCGCATAGTGGCAAAGCAGAGAGTTTTTTAGACTCTCCCTCAAGTTCATTTTTGAGTCCTATAAGTAGACAAGTAAAGCATAGTGGCAAAGCAGAGAGTTTTTTAGACTCTCCCTCAAGTTCATTTTTGAGTCCTATATGTAGACTAGTAAAGTATCCTGGAAACCTGCATTATCATGCATAAGAAATTGGTTTAAATTGCGAGTAAATGAGGAAATTAAAAATATATGGATTTTTCCATGCTTACCCAGCAATTGATTTATAAGCGGCAGCCAGTTACAAAAAATATGTAAACTTTCAATTAAAAGAGTTTAAATTAGTAAATTTCAAGAAACTTTGAATATTATTGTTCACTAAGTCTGCAATTTTTATAGGTACTTTATTCCGAGATGTAAATGGGTTGTAATTTTTATTCTCCATTGTATGGTATACTTGGCTTTCCTTGATCAGCCAGCCTCCTTGTTATAATTATTATTTCTCAAAAAATAGTTATGATCAAGACTGCTGATACTCAGGGGGAAAATCCTGCATACTAGCTGCTCAA